CGTGAGAGTCGGTCCACTATATCTGCGCGTATTACACGGGGCAGCTGGCCTCGACTCTCCCTCTCACTCTCCTCTTCTCTCTCTCTCTCTCTCTCTCTCTCTCTCTCTTCTTCTCTCTCTCTCTCTCTCTCTCTCTCTCTCTCTCTCTGTCTCTCTCCTTCTTCTTCTTCTTCTCGCTCTCTGCATCTCTCGGTATTACTGTATACCTACTGCAAGGATCTCGGAAATGAAGTCGATCCTCCTCCTCGCCCTGCCATTCACCGTCCTCCATCCTTCGTCCTCCTCCTTTCCCACCACCCGCCGCCGCTAAAAGCCTGGCGGGGTTGTTACGCAGACAGAAATTCAATATAGCCGTTACTCTTAGGTGGTTGTATGTACTTACCGTCTCTCCTCTGTGCTCGGATAACGTATTATTATCGAAGAGCGACAGCGCGAAGCGGCGACTGAGCGGAAGAGTGGATTCCCCGTCATGGAGAATTCACGAATCCGGGGAATAATCTCTTTTCCTCTCCCTCCCTTTAACCTTCCCTCTCTGTTCCAACCGCCTACCACCCTTTCTCGCGCGGCACTTTCTTTTCCTCATTGCGGAAATTCGCCGAACGAGCGATCGCGTTTTATACGCGTCAAGGGGATGTCGTGAGTCGAGTAATTGGTTAACGTGACCGAGAGGGGCTTGATTACCGAGTTATTAAACGTTAGATTAGATCTTGACATAAAGGGGATCAAGAGGAACGACGTGCGAGCTACCATCGTTATCGTGCGTAAGCATATTTAGCAATACCCCCTTTCTACCATCTACATATATTAATTATTTGCATTAATTTTCAGAAATTGGTGGTCGCGAATCCTTTCTTTCCCCTCGGTTATCGTTACGGCACTAATACCGCACTACGTAGACAGGAAATATCGAGTAGTATCGACGTATAATTAAATATCATCATCCGTAATCGAATTGCGTGCGCATCGTGGCGTGTTCATCGCTGATTCATTACGATCGCGTTGGTCATTAACATAACCGCGCAGTAGAGGCTTTGTTGCTAATTATTGCGATAATTGGTACTCCGCGGTATACTGAATTCCGAGCCGTAACATTGTTGGGCTGCCGCGTGTTCCTTTCACGTCGGAATTAATTTGTTTCTCTCTGGAAAATCGGACGAGCTTTGTGTTTACATCCGCTCGGTGCTCTAGAAATTATTTTCAGCAACATCGACTTTTGTATATAAAGTTTCTATATACGGCATTCAATTATTGTGTAATCTAATTCTTAAGAAACGTGAAAATAACGAAAAAGAAAACAA